AACGTTAGAATGGAAGGAGTGATGAATATATGAGTAATTTTGTGCGAACCATATTTAATCTAAGCGATGACGCAAAGTCAAAGGCCCGGAAACTAGAACAATGCATCAAAAAGATCGTTAATGCTGAGTCAGCAGTTATTTTTTATCAAACATGTATATATATATATATATATATATATATATATATATATATTTATATTTATGCTTATATTTATATTTATATATATAATATCTATAAAAAATGCCCTCAATAACAACTGGGCCGTATCCAGCGTTTTTCGTTGAGCGGGGGCCTTTTTACGGTCAGGGGCCTTTTTTCAACCCTGTGCCCTATTGCTAAGGCTCTGGCTGCGCCCCTGGCTGGAGCCTGAGTTGAAGGGGGGTTTGAAGCCCCCATAAACTGAATAAGAAAGTACATGCCTGCCGATGAGGGCTTTCGTCAATTTTGCAAATAAACAATTTGTTTCACAAATAACGATTGTTTCCTTTATCAATGTCATGTCGTCATGCTGAGGCAGCATACAATGATCCCACTTCCACGTGCATCACGTTCATGGGATGTGAAGCAGGCACGGGTGAATACCTACCATATCAATTGCAGACGACCACCTTGTCTGTTTGGTAATGAGTCCATTTTTCTTTCTTAGCTACATGTGTTTCATGCAGGCGTACACCTGACCCTGGATGAAGTCAAATTTGGCTCCTGGATCAGCCAGCATTCTGTTGAGTCCCGGTTCAATCGAGTTTTTCGAGTAGTTGTGTGAGCTGGAGTCCAGTCATTTGGATTATCCATCAGTGGATTAAAAAAGAAGTGTAAGCGTCAACAGGAGTCTTAGGTGATGGTTTTGCCATGCAACACTGAAACACTTGATGCTCTCTTACTGTCAATTCATGTCGCATGCTGTCTTTCAGGAATTTTGTGGGGTTGTGGGGTTTCCAGTTTGTGTGGGATTGGTGCAGGTGAGTTGGTTTCTCACCTATTGTCACCGAAATTTGCTCCATTGAAATGGATTCAGAAATTGAGACTCTGGTCTCAAGAAGAAACTCTGACCTGGTTCAGAGTCTGCAGAAATTTGCTCAGAAACGTACTGTGCTGCTCGAAAGTATAGTCAGAATCAACCAAATGTAACAGTCGGAGCTGGAATCGATTTCGCGGCAGTAAAACAACCACCATTCGGGCGTTATACGTTTGGGGTCGACCGTATTAATGACATTGGCATTTGGGCGTCCTGAGCGCCCGCCTCCAAGTGGAGGCGCAATTATGGCGTAAAAATGACTACTGCACGCTGATGCCGACGACAGTGCTGCCGTTTGGCCTCGTTGATCAATATTTTCGTTTGTGGTCATAAGATACGGCTTTTGAGATGCAGTCCCATCAAGTCTGCTGCACAGCGTTAGTGAGCCGAGTTATTTTCGCAGGGCCGCGTAAACATCTGGGAAGTGTTCGAGTGCTCACAGCCCCAGCGTGACAGTTCGTTGGCTCGCCTTCAGCTGTATGTGCGTGAACACTTGGTTACCCGCGCGCATGCGCGCGCCGACGCCCGACATTCTATACAGACAGCTGTTGGCTTTCAGGTGCTCACCAACGATTCCACACAGACAGCTGTTGTCTTTCAGGTGCCCACCAACGATTCCACACGGACAGCTGTTGGCTTTCAGGTGCTCACCAACGATTCCACATGGGCAACTGTTGGCTTTCAGGTGGTCACCAACGATTCCACACAGATAGTTGTTGGCTTTCAGGCGCTCACCAACGATTCCACACAGACAGTTGTTGGCTTTCAGGTGCTCACCAACGATTCCACACAGAGAGCTGTTGGCTTTCAGGTGCTCACCAACGATTCCGCACAGACAGTTGTTGGCTTTCAGGTGCTCACCAACGATTCCGTGACTGTCAGCGTTGACGCTGTAGTGTTTTACAAGGTCAGCGACCCCGTGATGGCCCAGAATAACATCGAGGACTACAGGTGCTGGCCGTGTGACATCACGTTGGCATGGCGATGCCGCCGCCGGGCGTGCCTCCGTCCGTGGTGTATTTTGTCTAGCCTCTGTTGGTAATTAGGGCAGCCCACCTGCTTGAGAAGGCGCGCCATGGGGTGCTGGACTCCTCACCTCTCTCTCCCCCGACAGCAGGGCGCCGGCCGCCCGACGGACTGTAACAGTGCTGACGTTGCTGGGTAGTGCCCTGCACGGCTTCCGCCAACTGTACTGCGGCCGGCGTCCGACCGTTAGCTGTCCAGCCGCCTCGGAATGCACTCACTTCGGCGGGGTCTCTTAACATGCGCCATGTGGGAGCAGTTGCCCCGCAGCCACCCATATTTCCCCCGGTCCAATCTCGAACTGCCCCTTGCCGCGCAGTTGGATGGTTTGATGACGTAGAGTGTGAAGTGTTCGGTGGGGTTTTCACTTAAGCAGGTTGCGGGCACCTCTGCCACCGGCTGCAGTTGCTGAAATAAAACGATGTGTAGGCGCGCATGCCCATAGACTGCGCTGTCATGCAAATTGTACGATGCTCATTCTAGGTCAGTTGATCACATTAATTTAGGGTGTCTGTAGCCACATTTAAAATGCTCCCAATTTGAGATGTTCTCGACAACCGGATAAGCCGTAATACAATGTTCAGCTGGAAAGCGAAGCAACTATTCGTACTCATATGCATACGAATTGACGTACGGACAGAGGGACCTCACATCAAGCTCGCTTTTGCCCGGTTTCAGGTTTCGGTGCGATACTGTACGTGTTAATCTGCCAAAATCTGTGTTAGACTCAGATATGAAAAACCTGCGCCTCCCTCTGCCTACTATATTTTTGTTTCGTCACCAGTTTTTTCGTTATGCTACAATAAATGCGCAGTGTTTGTCTCCAGCATGAACCCTGTGGGAGTGGGGTACGCCGAATATGCACATTCAATATGGCTGTTTACGGTGTAACGGTCGACGGCAAAGTGCAGAAGTGGTTATATTTCATGCATTCGAGATTATCCTGAAATCACCTTTTGAATTGGTGACTTGTTCGTTTGATGAGGACTACAATTTTATGACATTCCCAGTAGGCCCAATCTACTAGGTTTCCCACCTAAACTAAGCTTCCGGGTGCGACTGCTGGTTCTGCACTCCGGTGTGGAGGCCGCCGGCCCCACTGTCCAGCGCGACGGAAGCGCTCTCTGTGGAGGCCGCCGGCCCCACTGTCCAGCGTGACGGGCGCGCTCTCTGTGGAGGCCGCCGGCCCCACTGTCCAGCGTGACGGGCGCGCTCTCCGTGGAGGCCGCCGACCCCACTGTCCATCGCGACGAGCGCGCTCTCTGTGACGCGGCGCGTGGCCGGCTGCTCCGCAGATCCTATCCAGTGACTTAGTGACGGTGACCGTCGACGCAGTGGTGTTTTACCGCGTGCACAACCCGGTCGGCGCCGAAACCAAAATCGAGGAGTTCAGGTCAGCCAGCGTGGAGCCGGGCGGCGGCCCGGCCGGCGGCGGCGGTGCTGGCTCGGCCGGCGCCCGTGTGCAGACAGCCGCGTCTGGTGCCGTGACCCCGCGTGCCCGGCCCGGGCCGCATCGTGTCCGTCTGGCATGACCCCGCAGGCGTGTGTCCCACTCGGGGCCCGGGGACGGCGGCGCCCCCGTCCGCTGCCACCTCTTCTTCTCCCCCAGATTCTGAGCAAGGACAGTGTGACGGTGTGCGTGGACGGCGTGATTTATTTCCGCGTCATTAACCCGGTGACGGTGGTGACCTGCATTGACCACTATAGGTAGGTGGGGCGCCGTCTGTTCCGCCGGTCGCCACGCGCGGCCAGCCACTCCTGGCGGCTCACTCGGAGGGCGCGCCGGCCAGCATGGCCGTTCGGTGGGCCCGTATGTGCCCCGTCAGCACGGCTCCGGCACGGAGAGATGCCCCGCGCCTGCCGCAACCTTCGCCAGCGCCCGGCTCTGACCCGTCTGCTGCAGTCGAGCAGTTGGCTTCTCCAGCGTTCCGGTTGTCTTGGTGCGAGCCTTGGCGGACAGCCTGTGGCGTCGAGGCGCGATGTCGCCGGCTGCGACGGCCCTCGGGTCGACCGATCAGACGGCCGCCTCTGTACACTCCTGGCTAGCTCTGCACGTATCCGTCACGGTGCTCTGTGCCATGGTGCCCGCCCACCTCGCCAAGGGGAGCGCTCCCGTAGGCAGCGTTTCGTCCATAGATTCCGAGAGTTTGCAGCGAATGGTATCCGTGCAGCTAGTTTGCAGTCTGGTACCCGTCTCCCAGGCGTCTTGATCACGATCCTTGTTCAGCAAGCACGCCCGCGTCTCGCGCGTATAGGGCGGCCGCCAGATCTGAAGCAGGCTGCCGCCAATGAGGTGCCGCCTCATTTCATCACGGCGTAGCCACAAACACGGACAGCTGTTCTCTGAGCGCACAGCTCACCTGACGCCGACGATATTCATCGGTGCGACAGTGTTTGTTTGGCGAAGGCATGCATTGTGACAGCATGTAGTGCGGCTCTACGATGTAACGCAGCTGAGCAGCTCGTGCTATCGTGTGTGAACTAAACTAACACAAATACTGGGATGGGCCGGATGAAATGTGGATAATTAGAATGTAAAACAACGCAAACTCATGAATTGCGTTCTGACTTCTGGCTGTCAGGTGTAGGATTTGTTCGCTCTTTGTGAACACAAAGTTGATTGCAGACGCAGGCGTTATGGATACAGGCGCAACGCGTCTACCACTCTTCAATCCAACTGCGCGGAGATCCTGGATCCTTTCGACCAGTTGTCCTAATGTTCTGCCATGCTGCAACTACTGAAGACACTCTTCGACCCCACCCTCACCTCCTGTTCACCCCCAGACAAGATAATTTGCTGCAGAATAACGCCTACTGAGAGCATGAGCCCCGCGTGTTACGTGGTGTCATTTTAACTCCGTGTACTGTCGGCGCATCGTTTAGCTGAAGACTCGCACTCTATCTTCGCCTCTCCCTGTTTATCGGCAGCATGTGCATGACTCGATCCGTGTCTGCCTCTAGATCTTGAGCAAGGACTCGGTAACAGTAGCGGTGGACGCCGTAATCTTTTACCGCATCAGCAACCCGACTGTGGCCGTGACGAACATTGTCAACTACAGGTAACGACTGGCGGCGCTGCGGCCGGCGCCGGCGGCTCGGCGGCGCGCGGGCGCGGACCGCCGCCGCGGAGCCCGGCGACCGGCACGGGCTGAGAGACGCCTACTGTGACGCCGACCGGCGCGTGCCGGTCCGGTCCGGTCCGGTCCGGTCCGGTCCGGTCCGGTCCGGTCCGGTCCGGTCCGGTCCGGTCCGGTCCGGTCCAGTCTAGTCCAGTCCGATCCAGTCCAGTCCAGTCCAGTCCAGTCCAGTCCAGTCCAGTCCAGTCCAGTCCAGTCCGGTCCGACCTCGTGCACTCCCTTCCGGTCCTGTCCGATCCAGTCGGGTCTGGACTAGTCTGGCCCGTTTGGATACAGTCTGACGCTGTCTGATAAGGTCAGACCCGGCCCAGTCCGCCCACTCCAGTTGATTTCAGCACCCCAGCCAGTGAGGCCAGCTCAACGCCATCCAAAGGACCACGGTCCAGTGACCCGTCCATCGAGTTCAAAAGTAAACCAGTCCAGCGCTGTTCGCTCTAAACAACATCCAAACAATCTACATCAATACAGGCCTGTCCCAGTTCGGTTAAATCCAGACCAGTCCAGTTCAAGTCGGGCAGCCGCCATTGTGCTATCGCGACGTTTTGTCGGGTGGCGTCACTTTGCTGGGTGCTGAACGTTCGTGTTGCTGATAAGCCCAGAGATTGTTAGGTGCTCTCCCTCGTTCGTGTTGCTGATTGGCCAGCGCAGTGTCAGGTGCCCTCCCTCGTTGGTGTTGCTGATTGGCCCGGGTAGTGTTAGGTACTCTCCCTCGTATTGTTTGTGGTCTTACGGAAAAGTATCGTGGCTTGTTGAGACAGTTCCCAGGACTGGGGTCAGCTTGTCAACCACAATTAGGGCCATTAATAATCCCGCAGGCCTCCTGGAAAGTGCATTGTTTGAAGCATTGTTCCGGTTGCTAATGGCCTGCGCATTTAGGGATTTGGGAGCAGCTCAGCCTGGTCCAAGTCCCATCGGAAATCGTAGAACGCTTTAACAATAATCGTGAGCTTAGCTCTGGATGTAGTCATTCTATTCAAAGGTCGCACTGAGGTCAAATGTCGTAATGGACATGCTCATGGGTTCATTTCCTGGCAGTCAGTTCTGGCGCATTTGCGGCGAATCAGCCACGTCGGCTTTGCTGCTCGTGAACAACTACTTTATAATTCTAGAGTAATCTATCACCGAGCTCCCGCTCGCGGTCAGCCATCAAAATTTCAGTATTTCTGCTTGCAAACAGCTGTTAACGTCCGATAATCCATACTTGCGCTGCGTTTGCGGACCTCGTCATCAGCCTGTGTTGAATAAGCCAGCGCGGCGGCCGGGTAAGCGCACCGACAACTGCCGGCGTCGGCCGCGCCACCCTGCGCGCAGCCAGTCACCGCCCGTCCCCCGCGTGCCGCCAGCCATTCGACCCGCCTGCTGGCCGCCACCACGCTGCGCAACGTCCTCGGCACCAAGTCGCTGGCCGACCTGCTGGCCGAGCGCGAGACCATCTCACAACAGATGCAGTCCAGCCTGGACGAGGCCACCGACCCGTGGGGCGTCAAAGTGGAGCGGGTCGAGATCAAGGACGTGCGCCTGCCGCTGCAGCTGCAGCGCGCCATGGCCGCCGAGGCCGAGGCGGCCCGCGAGGCGCGCGCTAAGGTCATCGCCGCCGAGGGCGAGCACAAGGCGTCGCGCGCGCTCAAGGAGGCGGCTGACGTCATGAACGAGAGCTCCAGCGCGCTGCAGGTGCGTCGCTGTTTTGGTGGACATGCACACATAAAGGCACACAAAGGTTGGGACTTCGTATCTTTTTGAGGAGGTCGTGCTCGCACAAAGTTCCACTTCTGCACGCATTCTAGTACTGCGCAGACGGAAAGTAGGCACCCGTCAAAAGTGACGATTGTGGAATAGCCCCAGTGGTCGAATATGTCGATATGCCGTGTCATGTATCACACGCTGGTGCCGCGTGCTGACGCCCTGTTCTATATGTCATACTACGCATTCTTGAACGACGTGATGAGACACCGATGAGGTCCATCACTCGCCTCGCTTTTTGCACACGTGTGGCTCACGCGAAAACATTACCTTGTTTCGACACGCGTGTGGTGCTCGCGAAAACATCAGGTTGTGTGCTCGTGAACCACGCCACTTTCCGAGCTGCACGCGCGATCGCAGCCGGGTGCAGCACTTGGCTACTGATGGGATAGTAGCGCCTGTTGGGCTGAGCCGCTCTGCTGGGCCGCGTGGCGGGATGGGGCTACTGTGGCGACTCGCCGCATAGAGCGCTGTGGCGTGCCCAAGCAGTGGGGAGGAAGTTTGGCTTACGCATTTTTTGGGATCACTCCGAGCGGGAATGCATACCGGAAAGGATCTGATTTTGTTCCTGTTCGTAAGAATGTCTCACGATTAGGAACACCATTCAACTGGATGAAAATAGCTTCCCTGCAATAGCTGCACACGTTTTAGTCGTTTAGTGAGATGCATTTTGAATGAGATTTCAGTCACGGACCTTCCTCAGAGTCCATATGTCCAAAATGTAAAACGGATATCCAGGCTGTTGGTCTGGGACAGCATATACAGGCGACAGCCAGGGACAGGGTGTCCGTTTTATATTTGCACAGTTCAACTCTGCGGGCAAGGTCCGTGACCGAAAATTGACCCCGAGCGACTAAGACGTATCTAATGATTTTAACAGAATCCCAGCTCAGGTATATATTTGAGCATTTCTTGCATTGCATAAGCACTACACCACTTTAGCAACACCATGTGAAGCTTAGTGGTTTATGGTACGCAACCCAATGCTGTGAAAATTAAAATTGGCGTTAAGTGTTTTTCGGCATCATGACCCTGACCGCCGCCTTCCCCTTACGAACGCGATGCATAGAAGCAAACCAAACAATTCACCCCGAGTCAACATCGGTTCATCTTCACACACCACATTTCAGTGTCACATCGATGCTAGTGCACCGCCCATCTGCGTTTAGACTTCAAATATAGATCTCAGTTTTTAACGCCATCGCAATTGGCTTGCGTCTATCACAGCCTTTCGTCTATGTCTGCGACATCGGAGATGTCAGTTCCACAGCGCACACCGACCCACAGGCACTGTAATATGCAAGTCATCCTCATAAAATTCGGTAAGATGTTTGATCCCCATTGTCTGGTAGCATGATGAAACCTTTGTGGCGAATGGTCAGGATAATTCTAAAAGCAGCACGTTTTTTGCACTACTTCTATAGAATACGAATGATTATTTACTGCCATCCTATATATAAATAAATATATATATATATATATATATATATATATATATATATAAACATGTTTGATTAAAAAGCAGGGAGTGCTCGGGTTTGGCAAGTCGTCTGTTGATTCGTTTCATGTTTCTAATCAGCTTTTTATGTCGGGTTGAAGTTCAAAGATTAAATCACAAAAATACTCACATGTTAGATGGTGCATTTGTCGTATATATATATATATATATATATATATATATATATATATATGCATATATATATATATATTATAGTAAAGGGCTTTATATGTATATATATATACATATATATATATATATATATATATATACACACATATATCACTTCACTCGCGTCAGGCATCGAACAGTGTTAAAACAACTACAAATTCGCGATATTTCATGTTTGTCCCGTTCAGTCGGCCCCTCATGGTTCACATGATATAGTTTGCAACGCGCTTTGAGTGCCTCGTGAAATCCCTGTGCATTCCTGATATTTACTCGCGCATTGCTAACATTGTTACCACTGGTCGTTTCCAAACGCTTGTACATCGGTCAGCTGACCGTGTCTCACCGACGGCCTCTTCTGCGGACAGCTCCAATACCTGACCGTGCCTCCCCGACGGCCTCTTCTCCGGGCAGCTCCAATACCTGACCGTGTCTCACCGACCGCCTCTCCTGCGTGCAGCTCCAATACCTGACCGTGTCTCACCGACGGCCTCTCCTTTGGGCAGCTCCAATATCTCACCGTATCTCATCGACGGCCTCTCCTTTGGACAGTTCCAATACCTGACCGTGTCTCACTGATGGCCTCTCCTGTGTGCAGCTCCAGTACCTGACCGTGTCTCACCGACTGCCTCTTCTCCGGGCAGCTCCGATACCTGCAGACGCTGAGCACCATATCGGCCGAGAAGAACTCCACTATCATCTTCCCGCTGCCCATCGACGTGCTCAGCCACTTCATAGGGAAGTAGCGGCCACCAGCCAGCGGCGAGAGGGCGATCACCGCCCCGCCGCCGACCTTACGCTTCTCCCACCGCCCGCCGGAGATCGTCCCGGGTCCGCCCGGAGATCGTCCCCGGTCCGCTCGGAGATCGTCCCCGGTCCGCCTGGAGGTCGTCCCCGGTCCGCCCGGAGATCGTCCCCGGTCCTCCCGGAGGTCGTCCCGGGTCCGTCCGGAGATCGTCCCCGGTCCTCCCGGAGGTCGTCCCGGGTCCGCCCGGAGATCGTCCCCGGTCCGCCCGGAGGTCGTCCCCGGTCCGCCCGGAAATCGTCCCCGGTCCGTCCGGAGATCGTCCCCGGTCCGCCCGGAGTCGTCCCCCGCCCGCCGGTGCCGGCCGTCACGGGATGGCGCCAACTCTGACAGAGCGCGCCAGCGTCAGGTGTGCAAGCTCCGAAGGTGGCGCGACCAGCAGCGCGGCGAGATGGACACCCGGTCAGCCCCCGCCGGCTCCATCACCCTCTGCCGTTTGTGTTTGGCGTCTGTTATCTCCGACCTTCGTTCGTCTCGGTGAGATGATAGCGCTTGACACTTTGGAGCCTCGGAAGTAGATGTGGTAGCTTGGTTTGCTTGTTTGCGCTGGAAGCAATTCCTGGTGGTGTTGACCTCACCAGTGTTGTCACGTGTTGACCCTGCCGGTATGCTTGTTTCGGTGATATTCCATACGTAGTTTGGTTACAAACAGTTGACTGATAAGTGGCCAACAACAGGCACGTGGGACTCGCCGCTCCTTGCGTCAGCGTCACATTTGCGCGTTTGTCTGTCGCACAGCACTGCAAGCCCAGCAGGATGACGTAATATGAAACGGACGTGCAATAATATTATCAAGACATGTCGCGAAGGCATGATATGGATATTGACATCGCCCTGCTAACTGTTACATATTTGCACAAATCTGAAACGCTTTTAACTGGCTTCAACTGTCACCATTTTGTTTCATCCTTCTACCGGATAAACATGCGGTACCCGAGAGAATGGGCGATACCGACCATGTTCCTCGCCGCAGCATTCATAGCGAATTCTAACACCGTTTCGTGAGTCGGCGTGCCTGCCGTGCACATCTAAGACAGGCGGCCCAGTTCCGCACCACCCAAATAGCATTTCGACTTCAGCCTCAGCCCTGCGGCGTCCGAAGCCAGAGGGGACCACGAAACCGGGCGCCATATACCGATGGATCCGCCATGGCATTCAGTTCATCGCCGCAAATGGTTGCCGAGATTTTGATGAAGAAAATATGCTAGGTATCGACGTAAACATCGCTGTGGAACGAACAGACGCATCAATTTCCAAAATGCGTCGCGTACTGCACCCACGCGTGCCTGGCATGCTTCCCTGGGCGGTCCCGCACCCCCGGGTCAGGATAGTGGTTTTTCGCTTTGCTCGGACGCACGAATCCTTCATTGACATTGCTTGTGCTTTTCCAGTAATCGTACGGTCGTGCTGCCGTTGATGTGCTGACGTCAGTGCCTATGCAGAAAAGGTTGCTCATCTTACCAAATGGTCGCGTCCTTGTTCACCCTCTCATCGCTGCCCTGTGTGGGCACAGGGCTGCCGAACAACCCGTCAGTGTAAATATCCACCGAAAGATCTCCTGTGTGGCCCCGGTCGCCAATGACTTGAAATGAAATCATATGTTCCCCACTGCGTAAGATTATGACACCGCACAAGCGTTCGTGTTTTCTCACATTCATGTCCACTTTCGCAATGAGAATCTGAGATGAATAGCTCGCTGTCGGCACAAGGAAATGGCCGCCTCCCTCGTCGTATGACGAATGGCTTCACCGAACAGGGTAGCTTATTGGATGCTGTCACCACCAGTTACATGTTTTATTAATAGGCCACCGTCGCCGTTCTTTATTCAGCATGGTAACAAGTGAGACAAACTGTAATGCCAACTTAGCCGAAAATTGCTGGCCGGTTTCCGCGGCATATGAATAGCCCAGTTTTATGCGTGGTAGATGTTCGCTTTTGTGTGGGGTTGACAGCTGCAGGCCATGAAAGATTCAACGGACGGATCGCTATCTGCATAGCCAGCTGGTCCCCTCCGCTTTCGCGCGGTCTGGCGGCCCACGCGCGAACTCCGCGCAGCGCAACTGGGCGGGGACAAACCTGCCATTGTCACATTTGCAGCAGGCGGAGAATGCAGGCCACAGCGAGGGCCGGAGACCACGGGTACGCTGCCAGGTGTGACCCCCGTCGGGGGACAGAGCGCCACACGCCGGCTACGCTTAGCTCCATGGGCTGCGGCCGGGCTGCGCCGGCACGGTCGGCTCCTCTCTGTGCGGTCGATACGAGCTGCGGTTGTCCTCCGCTCGTCCGGCGCGTCGCGTGGTGTTGCCTGGTGGGTCCGTGGCGTGGTGCACAATCGCATGCTTCTGCTGTCAACTTCGTTGATGGAGCTACACGACTGTCTTCACTGAACACCGTACCAGCACCGCGCTCTCCCCGCGTCGCGTCTCGGTGTTCTTGACATGCAGTTCTCGACAGGCGTCAGCAGCTAGATGTTATTGTATTCGTGCGCTCAGGTTTTGGTGGATTTGTACCTTCGTACACGTGCCTAGCTTCGTGCAAGTGTCCCTTCTGCGACCTATGCTCCATTTTGGTGTACCTTAAGGCATGTAGAAGACTAAAATAAATCCGACTTCGATTAACGCTTTTGGCGTCGCGCGGATGGCGGTGGTAGGAATTCAATGTCACGAGCAGTGTCCAGCCCACTCAGCCGTGGTATTGCGTCGTCCAGCTCACCCAAGAGTCGACCACAAGCCGTGCAGCTCCGGCATCTCCAGCCGCACGAAAGACGCAGGGGAAAACGCGCGTTGCTAACGCTTACATTGGTGCGACGAATGGGAACATCCAGCATATGATCAGCCAAGGTAACAAGCGCACCTTACGTACAACAATAGTTTTTTTAAGTCATACCAGGGTACCGCAAAGGATAAACTATTTATTTCGGCAACGGCAATGTGCATTCCATTAAGTATCCAACCCACCTCTCACACAAGCAGTTCCCACCGTTCGCACAAAATGGTTAAAATACCACAAACCGACAAAAGCAAGTTCAAATCCCGTTTGATCTACGATTACCCTGCGCATCCGCAGCATCCTTCGAAAATGAGGCGCATTCGCCAAATCCATCTTCCTAACTGCACACAACGGGTGCGTCGGCATGGCGCAAAGTAACTAAGAGACGGCGCCAATCGAAAACCTACACCATCCATTGGCAGCACGGTGGTCAGCAACGTCAGCCTCGCCATTGTCCGCCTTCCCTCGTTCGACAAGCGCCATCCAACAACCAACAGCATCCAACAAGCAGAATCCGTCGCGAGGCACGCACGCTTCAAAACGACGCAGATCAACAGCCGGCAGTCTAAAAAAAACTCGCGCTCACGCCGGCGGCGAGACTCCCGCGGAGGCGCGGTGTCCCCCCCCCCCCCCCCCCCGAGCCGGGTGGGGACAATCGCTACTGGTCATTCAAACGGCCGCAGTCCTTACGCGCGGCCATCAGCGTGCAGCTGCTGGTGGAATGATCGACACACGCCGCCGCCCGGCCGGCACGCGACGAGAGGGAGGGCGGCAGTAGACGGGCACCGCGCCTCACTCGTACTCGGCGATCAGCACCATCATGTAGATACCGACCAGGAGGGCAAGCAGCTCCTTCACCGTCTGCCAGAGGTTGGTCTTCTCCAGCAGCTCCGGTATCACGGACACGGTGGCGATGTAGATGAAGCCGCCGGCGGTGAACGGCAAGATACGGGACGTGGCGGCGGCGTCTGCAACAGCGCTGGCAACCTCAGCGCCACGGACGCGCCGGCGGGGTGTGGCGGAGTAGTCGGCAGCACACGCACGCAGGCACACGCACGCGCCTACGCACGCGCACACACATGCACGCGCACACACAAGCACGCACGCACGCACGCACGCACGCACGCACGCACGCACGCACGCACGCACGCACGCACGCACGCACGCACGCACGCACGCACGCACGCACGCACGCACGCACACACACACACACACACACACACACACACACACACACACACACACACACACACACACACTGTTGGGAGAGGCGTCGAGTTCTAACACACCAGCGGGTTCTGGTGGTGCTGGGAGTCCCGATACACCAGCGGGGTGTGGCGGAGGTGTCGGGGATCCTGACACACAGCTGGGAGTGCCGGAGGTATCGGCAGTTCTGACACACCAGCGGGTTCTGGTGGTGCTGGGAGTCCTGATACACCAGCGGGGTGTGGTGGTGTCGGGAGTCCCGATACACCAGCGGGGTGTGGCGGAGGTGTCGGGGATCCTGACATACAGCTGGGAGTGCCGGAGGTATTGGCAGTTCTGACACACCAGCGGGTTGTGGTGGTGTCGGGAGTCTTGATACACCAGCAGGGTGTGGCGGAGGTGTCGGGGATCCTGACACACAGCTGGGAGCGCCGGAGGTGTCGGCAGTTCTGACATACCAGCGGGTTGTAGTGGTGCTGGGAGTCCTGATACACCAGCGGGGTGTGGTGAAGGTGTCAAGAGTTCTGACACACCGGTGGGATGTTACCAAGTGTCAGAGTGTGACGGCGGTATCGGGAGTCCTAACACCCAGGCGGGATGCGGAAGAAGTGTGAGCGCCAGCGACACGATGACGGGATGCAGCCGGGTTGACAACAGCGCAGATACACTGCTGCGAATGGCGGGACGTGCCAGCAGCAGGGACACACTGCTGGGGGGCGTGGGATGGTGTCGGTATCGCTGACACACAGGCGGGCGTACCCACGGGAGTCTGGAGTCTGGTTCCAATTGGATGTAGAGGTGTCAGCACACATTTGGACGTATCAGCACATGAACACACCAAGTGATATAGCAGAAGTATTCATGGGAGATACTGGCAGGCATCTAACGAACATCCCAGCACGATCGGTACAGGATGTAGGATAAAGGACTAACAGGAGATCAATAGTGCGTGATGCGATGGGGGTGATGGCTGAACAAGACAGGCAACATGGACAAACATTTCTGGGGTAACAGCACTGGCAAGGGCAGCATTGGCACCAGACACGGCTGAACCAACACAGGCAACATGGACAAACAACTCTAGGGTAATAGCACTGGCAAGGGCAGCAGTGGCATCAGATACAGCTGAACCAACACAGGCAACATGGACAAATAACTGTGGGGTAATAGCACTGGCAAGGGCAGCATTGGCACCAGACTGTCAGCTATACGAATGCCCCGTCACAGTTGGCATACCCTCCTGGCATACACTGTGCAGCGTCGGTGATAACTCATCCCCTCCATCAGGCCAAAATATATCAGTCAGCACTGACCCAGCCCCTCCCCCTCGGCAGTCGGGTTGGCAGCAGACTGACCTACCCCTCGGCAGTCGGACCGGCAGTAGACTGACCTACCTCCTCGGCTGTCGAACCAGCAGCAGACTGACCTACCCCCTCGGCTGCCTGACCAGCAGCAGACTAACCTACCCCTCGGCAGTCGAACCGGCAGCAGACTGACCTACCCCTCGGCAGTCGGACCGGCAGCAGACTTGCCTTCTCCTCGGCCGTCGGACTGGCAACAGACTGACCTACCCCCCTCGGCAGTCGAACTGGCAGCAGACTGACCTACCCCCTCGGCCGTTGGACTGGCAGCAGACTGACCTACCCCTCGGCCGTCGGACCAGTAGCAGACTGACCTACCCCTCGGCCGTCGGCCCAGTAGCAGACTGACCTGCACCCTCGGCCGTCGGACCAGTAGCAGACTGACCTACCCCTCGGCCGTCGGCCCAGTAGCAGACTGACCTGCACCCTCGGCCGTCGGCCCAGTAGCAGACTGGCCTACCCCTCGGCCGTCGGCCCAGTAGCAGACTGACCTACCCCTCAGCCGTCGGCCCAGTAGCAGACTGACCTACACCCTCGGCTGTCGGCCCAGTAGCAGACTGACCTACACCCTCGGCCGTCGGCCCAGTAGCAGACTGACCTACACCCTCGGCAGTCGGACCGGCAGCAGACTGACTTACCCCTCAGCCGTCGGCCCAGTAGCAGGGTGACCTACCCCTCGGCCGTCGGCCCAGTAGCAGACTGACCTGCACCCTCGGCCGTCGGCCCAGTAGCAGACTGACCTACACCCTCGGCAGTCGGACCGGCAGCAGACTGACTTACCCCTCGGCCGTCGGCCCAGTAGCAGAGTGACCTACCCCTCGGCCGTCGGCCCAGTAGCAGACTGACCTACCGCTCGGCCGTCGGACCAGTAGCAGACTGACCTACCCCTCGGCCGTCGGCCCAATAGCAGACTGACCTGCACCCTCGGCCAGCAGCGAGATCACGGTCCCCGTGAGCGCGCCGACGGCTGTCGTCAGCTGCAGCATAATGGCGCGCCACCGTGGCACGCCCGACTGCACCAGGATGGCGAAGTCGCCGATCTCGTGCGGCACCTCGTGCAGGACGATGGTTATTGTGGTGATGACGCCTGTCGGAGCGGTGGGCAGGCGTCAGTTACGGGCCCTGCCGTTAGATGTCGTATCAGGGGCATCCAACCGTCGTCATCCGAAGTATTAGCTTAGCACTCAGTTACATTTACCGCACACTTACACTTACTTCCAGCTGACGACATGTCGTGGATTCTACTCTTGCAGCTAACAGTAGCTGACCGTTACGGTTTGCCCTTTGTCTTTCATCGTTTTGTCAATTTGCCGCACTGTCTCCTCAGCGATCGGGTCGACCGGCCAGGCAGGTGGCGCCGATGGCAAGGGGGGGAGGGGGGAGCGTCGCACCGTCTCCTGGCCGACTGAGTGTCCGGCCAGGTAGGGGGTACCGATGGCAGAGGAAGGGAGGGGGGGGGGGGGGCGTCGCACAATCTCCTCACCGATCGAGTGTCCGGCCAGGTAGGAAGCACCGATGGCCAGACCGTCTGTCAGGTTGTGCGTGAAGTCGGCGGCCAGGTTCAAGTAGCCCGCAACCTTAATATCTGAGAAAAGAGTGGGGCGTGAACAGTGGCGGCTCTGTTCCTGAAGAAACAAGTGCAATGGTGTTGAATTGCAATGGTTGTTGCAGACAGCAGCCATTTGTCACGTCAGACAACATACCTTTTTGGATAATTTTACACCATGGATTGGACAAAGGCTTAATCAGACAACCAGGGAGGCTGATTAATGCATTATATCACAGGTAGGAGCCATGCCTCCTCAAAACAGTACATGCCAAATTATCAGAGCCTAACTCCAAACACTGCCTAAAACAGGGACGAGCCAACATTTCTTCCTAAAGGCTAGAACAAAATTCAGAGTAGCTTACAGGAGACTTTCCACTGACCTTGATGAGGAGTTGCTTTGTCCAAAGCAGCATTCTGTTGCTTTGTAGATTTCTTGTCTTTTGTCTTTTCTGATGTTTCAGCCTTGTCTTTACCAGGCCTTTTCGTCTCCTTCGAATCATCTTTTACGCGCTCTGCACTCTCTTTATCACTCGAAGCGTCTTGCGCCTTGCTCCTTCCCTTGCTCTTGGGACTGTCACCATCCTTATCTTTCGATCCTCCGGCGACGGCTTTGGCTTTGACCGTCGTCTCGTCCACCCCTGATGGTTTAACATGCAGCTGCCGGTCTGCCGGGCCGTGGCTGTGACCGTGGCCGCCCTTAACGATGCGCACGAACTTCTCTACCACGAAGAAGGCCACAATGCCAGCCAGAACCCAGAGGCCGACGCCCATGTCGTGCGCATGACCGCCGGCGCCGTGCGAGTGGCCGTGCTCCCCGGCTCCGTGCGAGTGGCCGTGGCCCCCGCCGGCACCGCCCGGTGCCGACCCGGACACGGCCAGCAGCGCGTGCGGGATCAGGTGAAGGAAAGCGTCGCCCAGCAGGCCACCGGCAGCGAAGCTGAGGAGCACCTTGAGCAGCGGCTGCGACGCCTCGCTGTTGTCCAGCGGGATCAAGAAGAGGATGAAGAATGGCGCGGCACTGACCAGCAGGGTGGAGCCAAGCGCGGTCAGCCAGAGCGAGGCCGTCTGCTCGCTGGTGCGCCCGCTGCTGACGCGTGCCTGGTGTGCCTGGAACTCCTCGTGCACCTGGCGTGCCTCCTCTGCCAGCTCGTCTGGCGCTACATTCGCCTGACGCGAGTACTTGAACGATGGTGGCTCGTCGTCAAAGTGGTCGTGGCTGTGGCCGTGGTGGTCATGGCTGTGGCCATGGTGGTCATGGCTGTGGCCGTGGTGGTCGTGACTGTGGCCATGGGAGTGAACCAGCATTGGGAGACTGAACAGAAGTATCAGCAGTGTTAGACCAATTGCAATGTTACGTAAAAGAATACTTTTCTCCATGACTGTTGCTTTGCTCATTCACTGCAAATAATACAGAATGTGTGTTGAGCCTGTAAACAGAGATTGTGAAAGGTTAGATTATATTTTAACTTTAAAAGCAGCCTGGCCCAATATGCTGTCTCCATTTTTTACACTTTAATTCCCTGCTTCCTGTATCATTGATGCCAAGTTGAATGCATCACCATAAATGCAGGGGAAAAAAATCCAAAAGCCCAAGCAACTTTCAAATGCATGTGTGCCCTCAGCTAGCCCAAAGACATTATCTATTAAGCTCTTACTTAATTCTACCCCAGCCTGCGGACCATGGCATATTTTGGACACACCTTGTTGAGGCAGAGGCAGGCACAACTTCCAATTTGATGCTGAATATTAGCATTCTGTGGCAGAAATTATCAAAATCAAATATTGAGGGTGTCATGTGTTCTTTAATATACAAGAAATGTAAAATCAAATAAAATGGCCCATGTTATGACCAACCGTGTTTTGGGGGCTGAGGCTATCCAAATCTCCCCAAAATGGGGCAGCTTACTAATACTCTTTTTTGAGCACGATCTGTCTGCCCCAACCATTATATTGATTTCCTGTGACTTGCAAACTGCATCACAGCTAGTTCTGCTTGCTTAACACAAATAAGATTGGTAACAAATGCATAAATTTTCTTGTTTACACCAAGACAGGAGCACATACACTGAGATGAAAATTAGATGCGGATGTCTAAAGGTCACCTTACTTCAACAGTAAGTTTATCCAAGCTGACCTTTTGGCAGCAAGTGCACTTACAATTCTCTTTTAAATAAAGATTGCAGCTCCAGCTAACCTCTCAATTAAAACTGCTTGTGATACATCCATACCAATTTTAAGCTGTTTTTTGTAGCAATAAAGTCCTATCAAGTTGTAAACATTGGGTTTCTGTTCAGTAGCTTTAATACAGTCCCATGCTCCCTACAACAACATTGTAGAATGATTCTTGACCCATACATCAACCATCTGAGGAAATGCCATGCTCATTTGGCAGAAATTTCTGGCTGTGATTGACTGTTGGATCCAAAGTGCCTACCACATCCACTACCAGCCATATAATTAATACCTCATTACCATTGACAAAGGCATCTAAAAACCTCCTGAGCATGCTTATGTATGTGTTGGAAACTGGATGTAAACTGGCTTCAACAGAGGTTATCAACTAGCAAAGATGCTTAGCATGTTTTTGAATGGCAACGTTTTAGAATATAGCCACAGTTTACAGCCATCGATGCCAAATGGAATCCCAGACTCGTGTTCAACTCGATATAATAAAGCACAAACACATGGCCAAGCATACGACCAAA